GTCAATGTTTATGAGTGCGGATCGTTTTGAGTTTACAAAGGTGTTTAGAGGAATATCTCAATACCCGGGATAGTTTTCAGGCAACAACTGATGCAAGTACGCACCTTCGGAATCGCTAGGCGGATAGCTGTTTTTTCTTTTTTTTTTTTTAGCGGGACTGACCTAAGCCTAGCGTCCCCGTTTTGATCGATCTGGCTTTCTTTGAACGTATTGATGCTGAGTAATGATGTTGGTTCCCGCAAAAGCGGCCCCGCTGCTTTGTGAATTCTGTAACCGTCGTGTTTCCTACCATGGTTTCGATACGTACACAGGTAAGAATTTGCGAGCCATTTGGCTAGAGGCAACCGGGCGTTCGGCTCGGATCAAGTTTGTTGAGGTTTGTTCCCGTTATTTCGCTTCGAAAGGCGAGTAGGTCTCAAGTTTTACAGTGCAGCTGACATATGCCAAAGCGAATAATTTTAAGTAACATTTTAATTGTGCGTCATGACACTCTCTCACCTTGCTCGCAGATGCCATGCGAAAAGGATCAAACACACAAAAGCTAAATTACTGCACATTTATTTTGCTGTTTTTTTAATCCTCTCGGTCGCTTTCTGCACTCTCAATAAAAAAGGGTGTAAAAGGGTGTAGGACCCTTTGTCCCATATAATACACCCCAAAATTTCAATTCGACGTACAGCGCCCTACAGTCGAACAGACGGCCCTAAATTTTACGAGGGGCTTGATAGCCGCGTGGTATAACTTTTGAAATAGCTAAAGTACGCATCAAAGGCCACATAAAAAAACACCGAGTTTTTACAGTAGGGCCAATAAAACCCCTGTACTTTTTTTTGTAGTCAGTAACAAGTACATTATCTATTTTAATAAGTTGTACAACACGGCTATCAAGCCCCTCGTAAAATTTCGAGCCGTCTGTTCGACTGTAGGGCGCTGTACGTCGAATTGAACTTTGGGGGTGTATTATATGGGACAAAGGGTGTAACGATCACCATTTTACACCCTTTTTTCTTGAGAGTGTACAGCCGCTTTCTACCGCACATCAACAGACGGCTCGGCTCGGCTTGTATTGGACCGTTGCCCGCGCATGATAGAACGCTCGAAGCCGCCTTCGTGGTAGAGTCTCGCGAACGTTGTAAAAGTTTTTAGACGGGGGGTGGAATAGCAGACGGACGATGGCGAAAACGGACGCTGATGGGCAGCGTTCATGTCTGCGTCATACGGACATGGCAGACGACAGTAGACGGTGGTGAGATAGCAGACAATGCGGGGGGCCGTCGCGCGTCTCCTCGCTCAACTAGCAGGCGTTTTCAGAGGCCAGAATAGACGCGCTTGATGTCGCGAAAGGTAGACACCAGGCTTTTTAGCGTGTTCGGCCGAGCTGCCAAGCCAATCCAGTAGTAATGTGCGAAGCAACTGATTTGTGGGCGGGGCTTAGAGCGGGACCTCCACCTAAATTGCTTCTAACGCAGTAAATATAACATAAAACCATTTCTCTTCTCGTAGAAATATTACGAAAAAAAACACGTTTCCATCTATGCTCTTAAAAAAACGTTTCTTTCTTTGGAGTGTCTTTTGGATAAGAGCGCTTTTAAGGGACATTAGAGGCATCCGGGTAAAAAAAAGGCAGGGGTTGTTGCTACGAGACAAAAAAACACCTAATCTTTTTTTTAAAACGTGTGAGGTGCAAAGGTTCCATCCAGGATGAAAGTGCCATGTTGGCCCGAACCACCTTTGAGCAACCAAAAACAGGTCTTAAAACGCAGATTCAGCTCCTGTAGAGGCACTAGGATGCGTCTCAGCTTTTGTCATTTGAGATGGGGTGGATGTAAATTATTCTCCAAAAGCATGACCTATCAGATGATGATGATTCAATATTCAAAAAATTCAATATTCAGTGGTGGCTTTTTTTATTATTATGATGATCTCGAGAAGAACATTTGGCTGCTATGGTCAAAATGGTTTCTTGAGTTTTTGGGCGAAACGGCCACCCTTGGCACCGTTAACCTGACAAACCTTTCTTTCAGCGACTTTGTGTACGTTCAACGTTGTGTATTAGTAAGAATAGCAAAATCCTGCACAGATAACATACAGCGAAAAAGGGAACGCAGTTTCTAGAGAAGCAAAGGTCACTCAACTTTTAGCGAGTGGACCGCTGCCGCAATCTGTTGGCTGTTGCATCGATCAGTCGTGTGTTGTTCGCTGATGGACACAGTAAGTAGGAAAAAAAAAGCTTTTTGATTTATTTACTTTTTACTCACATACTACTTATATTTCGAAGATGTTAGGCTTAAAATTCACCATCTACAAGCTAGCTTTGTAGTAAATCGTATAGCGCGAGACGTTGAGAATTCGATTTGTGTGGTTTATTCGAAGGGTCAAGGCGACATCGGATCCATCGGGTACCGAGCGGTTTTCAAGCGACGTACTTCCCGCTCAAAATATCGCCAGACGTCATCTTAATGAAGTTTCTCCCCACACCTTTCCATTCGCGGAGGAAGTGTTTTCCTTTGAGTTCCTTCGAGTCGTGATCGACTGTTCTAGCCAGAGCAGTCTGGAACATTAAAGAAGCGACAACTGTTACTCAATTTTCCTACATACCGCTATTTATTCGAACATAAGGCAAGCCACCGATAGAGAAGTCGACCCGTCGGCGGCAAAAATGGCTCCCGATAGGTACCACGGGCAACTTCGAGAGGAAATAGGCGGAGTAAGCATGGGTTTATGCCGCGCGAATTCGTCCCCAGTCTTACCCACTGAGTGCTGCCGTCGACAGAGCCGCTCGCCAGGCTTGTTTTTATTTATTTATTTTACAATACTGCAGGCCCCGTTAGAGCCCAGGCAGGAGTGGGGGGAAAAAAGAAAAGGGAAGGGATGGCAGAGACACAAACACACGCGTTCTTCAACACAACATTGATACTAAATAGCATATATCATCGCAATCTCGAAAAAATACATCAGGGGTAGGGCTATCAACAGCGTCTTTTTCCAAGCAATTATTAAACCGTGTATTTCGGCGTGTGACGTACTTTAGGTAAGGTGATGAATCTAAATTAAAGTAATACTCTTGGTTAGATAGAAAAAGTTCAATCTGAAAATTTTCCGGCGCGATCTCAAAGACTTTAATTCAAGTGATTTCAACATTTCTGATGGGCTGTCTAAGCGACGGTACCTATTGCATATGAATCACGCAGCTAGCCTTTGAACATTTTCTAATTCGTCTATGGCTCTTTGTTTACACGGATCCCAGACTACGGACGCATATTCTAAAACTGGCCTAACTAAAGTCTTATACGCACTGAGCTTGACACTGGAGGGGGCTACTGGAAGCTTGCGCCTTAGGGACCACAACGCTCGCCTCGCAGCAGCACACACAATGGCGCAAGCGTATTCCAGTTCAAACTGCACGTAATTGTTACCCCAAGGTACTTAACTTCAGAGGCTTCTTTAACTTAAGTGCCATTAATTGTATAGGGAAAGTTCAGTACAATTTTTTTTTATTCGTAACCCCTAGTAATGTACATTTCTCCAAGTTTAATGGCATTTGCCAACGTTCGCACCATGCATAGACATTCTGAAGATTATTTTCGAGAGCTAGCTGATCATTACGGGTTTCTTCTTCCTTGTACAGTATGCAGTAGTCTGCAAACAACCGAACCCGAACTCTGTTATTTACGCTTTCAACTATGTCGTTTATGTAGATAAGAAACAGCATCAGTCCCAGAACCGATCCTTGTGGAACACCCAAAAAAACAGATTGACTTGAAAATCGCTTATCAATTTCGATAAACTGGGAGCGGTTTGAAAGGTACGACTGAACGAATTGGACTAGGTCGTTTTTTATTCTGATTGCGTATAGCTTCTGCACTAGTTTATGATGTGGTACTTTATCGAAAGCCTTTGCGAAGTCTAGAAAGATGGAATCGACTTGCTTTCTTTTATTTTGGGCGAGGGCAAAATCATGTAAAGTCGTTACTAACGTGCACTGTTGATGTCCCTTGACGAAAGCCCTGCTGAGCACTGGTAAGGAGATTATTTGCTTCCAGATAATCAGTAATATACCTGCACACTATGTGCTTCAGTGTTTTACAAGAAACAGAAGTAAGGGGTATAGGGCGATAATTAAAAACGCCCTGAGGATCACCACTTTTTAAAATCGACACAACACGAGCGCGACGCCAGTCAAAAGGAATCTCTTTTTGTTTTAGTGAGTTATTAAAAATGACGAACAAAGAATGCGATAGCCATTCAGCATAGCGTCGAAGGAATTCGTTAGATACATTGTCCGGCCCACACACTTTTTTAACATTTAGCCGAAGCAAAAGATCAAAGATTCCTTCCCGGCTTACGACAAGGTCCCGCATTGCCGACGACTTATCACAGATGCTATTTGGTTGTGCTGCCGAATGGGGGCTGAATACGGATTGAAAGTACCTATTGAATTCGTTTGCCATGTCGGTTTTATTAGTGACAAGAATTCCACTAACATTTAAACACTTAGCAGACTTTTTTGTTCCTGATAAGAATTTCCAAAATTTAGCGGGCGCTTCCTTCAGAGCACATGCTAAGTGATGGCGAAAAAAAAAAAAAAACTCCGTGGAAATTGAAATTTTTTCTTTCAATTCTTTTATTTTAGAAAGTTCAGATGTCCCATACTTAATGAGTTCACTTTTTACGCTGCAATTTACGTCGTTAGTTGAATAATCTCCCTTGTTATCCAAGGATTGTTTCTTCTTGTGTGCATGTGCACCAGGAATGACGCCAATAACTAAGCCTTCGCATGCAAACCAATGGGGGAAACGGCGGAAGTTGTTCATCAGCATAGTGGAACACGGTTCACTGTAACTGAAAATGTGTTTGGCGACTCGGCCCTTTATGCGGGGAAAGCTATTTTTAATGAAAATGGGATAGCTAGGGGGGGGGGGGGGGGGGGGCGCCTGGCGAAAAAAAATCAGGTTTTGCGGTTGTTCAGATTTTCACTGCTTGACGACTTTCTCTCGCAGTTCGTGCACAAGCGGCAAGGAGTTACGGAGCATTTCCTGACGTCAGTTACTGTCCCCTGGACTGTGCTGCGGTGCCTGAGTTTCAGCGTGGATTTCGCCACGGACCCAGGATCCTCCAACCGCAGGTTTCCCGACTTCTGGATGAGCCTGGCCTACGTCTTTTACCTGCCGTCCATGTGTCTGGGTCCACTTATAAACTACGACAACTTCGTCGCACAGGTAGGATGCGCGAAATCTGGCGATATTGACAGGGCGGTGAAACTATTTTTCACTTCCCGCAAAATACAACTTCCAATTACTCCATGACGTTCACAGCCTCTGAAAGTTGTGTGTTGTGGTTATGTTTATACAGCCTGAGGTTAGTCTGCCTCAACGGACGACTTGTCTTTCAGCTGTAGATGACCAATTTAGCCAGTGCAGTATAACCCCTAATCTGAGGTCCTGGACGTGCACCACGCAGTAGTGACAGACGATCGCATGCCAGTACGATGCTCATCCAGATCAAAACGGGCAGGGGTGGGGATTGAACCTAGCATTCCTGGCTAGGGTGTACTGGGAACTGGGAGGTGTGCCGACCGCGTCGGCCTCACCACAGCTCGGTGCCCCGTGGCCCAATTCTGCCGCAGGGGTCTAGGGTGGCGCTGCCAGTCGCAGCAGGGTCAGGAGCAGCGTTTAGCGAGGCTGGTTTGGGATGTGTTAGTGTGACTATTTCTTGTTGTTTTGCGCTGTTTGTGAAGCGATTTGTATTGCGTGCTGCTAGTTGTGCCGAGGAGACAAGAGACTCACAACAATGTCAAATAATGAAAAAAAAAAAAAAAAAGTTTGTTTTGTGCCGGGGTGCAATGTCGGTCACGATACATTCAAAGAGAAACTCTCATTGTTTCGGACGCCGAGCGACGCCTCTCTGCTCGCGAAATGGGATTGTCAGATTCCAAGAAAAAAGACAACTGATGACGAAAAAAGGTGTGTCACCTGTGTGACATGTCAAAGAAAACTAACTTATTCAGGTGGGATTTTTCTTCAATAAAGACAGCAGTTGAAGTTGCTTCATTTATTTTGCCAGTCTTCGTGTTTGTTTTTATATAATGCATGCTCAGAAGATGAAAGCAATTAAGACATTTCCTAGTCTATAAAGATTGACTGAGAACGCAGAAGTAAAGAAAAGCTCGCGTTCATTTTGCAATGCAACTGACAGAAAAGATATATCAACACCAGAGCAAAAACTAGGTATTTAAAGGTCTTCAAAATGAACAGTAGCCGAAAAAATTGATTAGAAGAGCTTTGACACTAAAGTGTAGAGCAAAGCATCGCATCGCATCGCATCGCATGCTAGTATGTAAGGTGAGATAGACAATTGTTCTTCTATAAAAAAAAGAAAAACCAAATAAAATGAAAGAAGCGAAACTACGTAAGTTACTGACTGCTCCCGGGGGCATTTGTGCTTTGAATATAATCGTCTGCCGCTCGCCCATGTCGCGCATTTCACAGGGGTGTGAGATAGGATAGAACTATTTCCCCCAACCGAGCAGACAAAGATAAACGAAGAATACTATCATTTTTACGCCGAATAAAGCATTTCTGCTGCGACCGCCAGGCTTTTGTCATACGTCGGATGGCCGCGCTCTGCACCACAGCGAACTCACCGGAGTGCTGGCACGTGGCGACACACTGACGGCCGCCGGACGGCACACTTTCCCATTCTAGTACATCCTATCCTGGGTTCTGCAGCGCGAGCTTTCGCTCCACGTGCTCCGAGCTGACCTGTGCTAGCTCACTCGGCCACTGATCCCCCGCGTCTGAAACGCGCGTTAATTCCCTTTACGCAATGGCAGTCACAGAAAAAAAAAAATAGAAACAAACGCGCAGCTTTCATTTACTCAACTCGCAGCCAGCGCAAGCGGCCACGTGACCTGGTCCCGATTATATGCTACCAGTGTTGATCATAGCCGTGCGTTGGGACTGGCAAAACACAGGGCACAGATAAGTCTCACATATTCTTAGACTTTGGCTATTCCCATCACGACCTCCTCTATGCTTACGACCAAAACACACGCAAGTACCGCACAGCCCACCTAGGGACCGTGCTGGTTTGCATTCCTGCCGAGAGATGGCGGTGCAGCTCAGCTTTTCTGCTAGACACCCTATATTACATAGAGTTTCTAACTGCTCGATCGGGGCCAGCTGCACGGGCCGCATTTTCCATACGAGCTGTAAAAAGGTGACGAAAGCGTTGATCGCCTGCAAACGTCTCCGCCTTTCTTCCAACTTTCATCCTCTCCTCGCGTAAACGCGACGCATGAGCACTTGCGACCGATCGTAAGCAGAAGGGGTCCGCCATTAAAGTACAAACGCTCATGGTTTGAGATGGACATCCTCTTCAATATGTTTATGGTTATTCGAGTAGCTATATCACTGTACGACAGCCTGCACATGAATATCCGATTCAAAAGTGACCACTCCCCGTACTTACCTGCAGAAAAGTGGCCTATGCACAGCGGCCTGGAGTTGTAACTTTGCTCCGAGGCTAGTCAGTGGGCCTTGGGGAAAGCCCCCACAACGTCATTTTCACTTCCCCAAGTAGTCGTTTTTTCCTTAGAGTGTTTAACATGGATTGGGAAAAGATCATACACCTATTTAGTGAGAAAAAAAAAAAAACACTGAAACAAAACCAAGTTGTTGCGTATGTTTGCCGAAAAATTCAAGGTCATACACCATGCCAGCGATTCGCGTCAGTAACTCTCACGATCTCCTTCTCCTGCCAGCTTTATCGTAGACGTTTTTTTTTTTTTTTTCTTTTTGCACACTGGTGTTTAGATATTATGAATTCTCGCGTAAATTTCCCCTCGTTGCCTCTGTGTTTCAGTTGAAACAGCCGCCCAAGCCCTGGACCGTGGGCGAGCTGGTCGGCTGTCTGATGGGCCTGGTGCGGAGCGCTTTCCACTTAGTTCTCCGTGACATGATGAACCACTACTTCTACAGGTGCGTACCAAGAGACATCTCACGGTACCTCTAGCGAGGAGTCGCCTGACGAAGGAACTGTTATTTACATACGCTCTCTTCCTCGTGTCCATCGTCAATTCTAGATCTGTTTACATTTTGTTTAACATGTACTGTAAAATAACTGAGAGAATGGGAACGGTGTGGTGTCTTCCAAACGCTCGGTTTCCAACAGGCGCTCCATGCCTTCCGCCGTGCTTTGGCTGCGTGCGCGCGCGCCCGCACGAGTTGTCTCAGCATTGCCAAAGCATAGCCTCCTATATACTGACAAGGCCTGGCAGATCGCTACGAGAAGCGGCCGCCGAAATGCAAAACGGTGGAGTTGCAAGCAACGGATGAAACGAGAGTCACGTTACTGGCGCCCCGCTGAAGCGAGACGCCGAAACACACTTCTCCCGTGCGAACAAGCGTGTTTCGGGTCCTCGCCGTTGCAAAAGCTGTGCGCTGACGTCCAGGTTCCCCGAGAAATGGCTCTTTGATGCTCTGTGCTACCAGATCCTCGCGCTCCAAATCTGCGGCCGGCCACTCTATGGCTTCGTCGTCAAACTGCCAGGCTCGTGATCAAATGTAGAAAGCTCGCGCTGTGGGCGGGACAACTGAAGGTCCTCTCTGCCGTTTTCTCCGTGTCGAGACACGGACCCATGCTTAAGACTCGAGCCCTAAGACCGGGTAGCTTTATTATAAATCTACAATGGGGGCTGGGCTTCTAGAGCTTGTAATGGAAAAAGTAAGATCGACGTTTTCAACGCCACGATGATATGTTTTCGAAAACCACCAAACAGTAGCACTGGCAGTGTTAAACGCTTCATTACTTCCAATGTTTTTTTTTTTTTTTTTTGGGGGGGGGGGGGATAGCTGTTATTTTGCCGTGGTAATTCGTTCGGTATAATGGCGAACAGATTCTAATAAATAATCAGTTCGAAATAATATTACCTAATATAAGAGGAATATGTCAGCGTAATAAACACGTACTTATTTAAAGCTAATTCCGTTCGTTCAATTGTGCCATATACAGGGTGTCACAAAAGAAAATTTACACGGTCTTTTTTTACCGCAAAAATAAACTAGGCATCGCCGAACGCTCATTCTCCGCCCAAAAGGTAGAGCTAGAGGTTACAACCAGATGCCAAAGTTTCAGCCCGATCCGATAACTTAATCAAAAGTTATAAATGATTTTCTGAAAATTTCATTGGGAAAATGGCGGCCGACGGAGTTTTCAAACACATGGGGCTCTATCCCGCCAGAAACCGAAAACGGGCCAAAATGGGCTCCATTTTCCCATTGAAATTTTCAGAAAATCAGTTATAACTTTTGATTAAGTTGTCGGATCGGGCTGAAACTTTGGCATCAGGTTGTGACCTCTAGCTCTACCTTTGGGCAAAGAATGAGCGTGCGGCGATGCCTAGTTTATTTTTGTGGCAAAAAAAGATCGTGTAAATTTTCATTTGTGACACCCTGTATGTACAAACTTTTTGTCAACATTCATTTCTCGCTTTCCGTCGATAGCGTTGTATGTTCAGACAATAAAGTACTCGTCTTTTAGCTTATTTAGCGCTGTAGCAATTTGTGTAAATACATATATGCATTAAATCAAACTTTTGTGCCACATTGAAAATATCTTACGGTAGATGGACAATTTCTTCTCTTTTTTTATATATGGCCAACTTTATTTATTTTTGCCATGTCTAAACTAAGTCTAAGGTACTGCACTCGGAAGGCGGACTTGAAATCGAAACAGTAGAAACATTTCAACATTCCACGTCCAAACAAGTTGAACGCAGAGCAGGAAAAGTGATAGGATCTATCCTCCGAGATGCTCAAGGCTAAGCAGACAATTAGAAAGACAACACTATAATTGCGTATTTTGTTTAAATATTATTTTTAAAGATGAATCTCGTTATTTAATAGCCACACCTCGTGTGTATGCACTTGCATGGTGCTCGGTGGTATAAGAGAAATATTCAATTTAGTTTTATCGGACGACCGCACCACAACCAAATATAGAACACGGATAAGATTGCTCATCTTAAAAGAGTGACAAAGTCGGCGCGAACATGCTGCCGACGGGTCTTTGTAATTCTCTCATACTTGGAACATTACCGTCAAAGTTACTAGCGCAATTGAATCTGCTTATCTATCCCACAGACAAAAATTTAGGTTCGTCAATAACACGGCTTAACTAATCCCTAAAAGCACCAATGTCCTGTTCGCGGCCACTGTGTCGCGCAACGTACCTGCGACTAGGGTGAACCCATAACACCTGACCAAACAGATGCATGGAATAGTTCAGCCTTCATGCATATCATGACTGCATAACGTGGAACGAAACTGCCTAATAAAATTGGGTAATGTTTAGGCAATGTCAGCTGAATTTGAGGTCAGTAGATTCGAGAATTGGAGGTGGAAAGAGTACGTGTCGTGAATTGTTTTAGCTCACAAATAAGAGTGGCCTTGATATAGAACGTTAAGCGAAAAGAAAGAAAAACTCAAATAAACCGCATAAGTGTGATAAGCTGGGCGAGTTTGTATGAAGATAAGGTGAACAGTACAGCGTCCCCCAAAAACAACAATGACAGAGGAAAGAAATATGCACGAAACACAAGCGCTGACTCGCAACTGAATTTATACGCAAAAGGGAGAAGAAAACGTGCTGAAAGACAGGCGGTCCAGAGAGTGTAACTCACCAAACCACACCATCTAACTAACATGTCTTTGTCGGTGCCTGAATGACTGCCTTCTCGAGCATGATCGTTCACTGAAACCTACGCTGGGCGGTCATCTTCCGTACACTGGAATACCTGGTCTCGTCCTGCAATTCTTTCCGGCACAACACCATTCGGACATTATCAAGACAAGACGAAAGCCTGCAAAGGGTTTGTATTAATAACCTCGGGGACTGCTGCACAGACATGTACAAGTTACTTCCAAAAAATTTACTAAATACCGTTAGTCGTTACTCGCTCGAAAAGTAACCAAAAGGAACACATTACTTCACCTCAAATGCAGCGAGTTACTTTTGTAACTTTGACCACCAAATAATTAACTACTTTTTTTTTTCTTTTTTATTAAGTGTTTTACCTAAACGGCAGCTACCTCTCGAGGTTTTTATCAGTTAATGCCCGTTCACACTCTTCGACCTCTTAAAACTGGGTTCCTTGAAACCTCTTACAACGAGAGGACACACTGGCGCCATCTATTGGGTAGCAGTGTAAACTTGGCGGTGCGGCATATTTTCTTTTTCTCTCGCGCATTATCCTTTCTTTTTTGGCTCGAAAAACTTTTGTCAACGTTATAAACGAGCCTTTCTTATCGGTATTACGCACATTTGACCTCGAAAATCCCTCAAAACTTTCGCACTTGTTAAATGCAGTTCCAGGGTTACCGCATAGAAGACGCCAGCATGCAAGTCTGTTCTCTCCTCCTAAGAAATTTTAAGGGTTTTAACAAGTCTCGTCTCTCTCGGTCGTACTCGGTTGCAAGAGTGTGAACGGGCCTTTATGTTTCCTCGCTTAATTGAGAATACACCTCCGGCAACGCTGAAGAGTCGTTCTACTGACGCGCTTGAAGGAACGGCACTGTTGTGTTTCAAGAAGAGCTGGTTAATCTGGGATTCCCCTCTCTCTTTTGTTCTATCTGCTTCTAACGGTCGAAGTTCACAATGGGTTGTGTGCCTTCCCGCGTCGGCAACCCCTGGACTTACATTCGGTCTGTACACGATTTTCTGAGGTTCAACCAACGAACCTTATTCTGCTGTCTGGATGAAGGACGTTCACAGTCATAGAGTTCGACTGACGTGTTCAGCGATAAACGTTTGTTATACCGTTTTAATGTTTAGATGTTTTTCGGGTTGCCCATCTGCCTTTGTCGCAATAGACGCATACTTAGGTTAGAATTAAAGGGACCATGAAATTACCTTTTTACTTTTGCCAAAAAACAATGTTCACTGAATGCCGAACAGGCATCCGTTTTTGTTTCGGTTTATTAAGAGGTCGGCTCTACTGACCCTGAACTTGAGTCCCACGCTCTGCAATCTCTACTGGAGAATCCTGAGGGTGCACTCTCTGATGATTCCGGCTTGCTAAAAAGGATGAGGTGCGCCTCTCACACGCAGCAGCTGGCAGTTAGTGACGCCTTGAAAGGCTCGGGCTGCGGGCACATTGTTGAAGGCAGCCGTGCGCTTGTTAAGAGACTACGTGTCAAAACTGTTATGTCCCTGATCAGAAAGCTAGGGTTGAAGAAACCAGTGCTTGATTGTCCGGCGCAGTGGATGTCCACGCTGCATATGCTCACCAGGCTACTTGAACTAAGAGGCTTCGCTGGAGGGTTCCTCTCAAAAGAGGAAAGCTTCAGGTGGACTGAAGACGTATGGGCGGAAGTCGAAATGCTCGCAGTATCCCTTCACCCGGCGGAAGTGGCGACGAATACATTGCAGAAGGAACAACTCACTGTTGGAGATTGCTACGGAGCATGGCTGAGGTGTTCCATGGACACTTCCAAGATATAGTCACCGTTAGCAAGGGCCTTGGTCCAGTCAATGGAAAAAGAGTGAGCGACAACCTCTTGACACGGACGTCTACTGTGCAGCTGTGTACTTGGATCCCCGCTACCGCCTTCTTCTCACCCCTGAGCAGAAGTACCAGGCCGCGTTGCATTTGACAAAGACTTGGAGGCTGATCACAGTTCTGCAATGCGAGCAAGATTCTACCCTTTCTTCTAAAACTGCGGCGGCTCCAGAAGATCCGGAAGACGCCCTAGAAGTGCTCCTCAAGGAAAGAGAGGTTGAGGCTGGCATGCACGTTCGAGGTGCCAGTAGCCCACTTGATATAACATGCCTCCTGGAAATGCTAGACAAGGAGCCGCTGCTTTCAAGGGACAGTAAAGTGTTACAGTTTAGGCAGGAGAGAAGGAAACGCCATCTAGAACTCTACGCATTGGCGCAGGTAGTCCTTGGAGTGCCTGCGACCCAGGTAAGCGTGAAGCGAGCCTTTTCTGCACTGAAGTTCATTTTATCGTCTCAGAGGTGCCGTCTTTCCCCGAATATGCTGACGACGTCCTGCTGCTTCGGTCAGCTGCCTGACATTGAACTGCGCTTCCACCCACGTGTCCCGGCGCTAGCTCGTTCGTGCCACACAGTAATGTGAGAATTTGCTTTTTATATGAAACACTTGTATAAAATATGCATAGTTTATCTTTTGCTGACGTCAGTTGTTTTTGTAGCATATGAGTACGAACCGGTTCGAACCGGTTTGAATTTTTATTTCTTCACTCCGGTGTTGAACCGGAGCTGAACCGTTTTCCCAGAACCGGAATGAAAACCGAAACGAAAAACATTTCGGTTCGACTCCCTGCTTTAAACAGAAACCTTGTTTTTAGATGGGACCACAAGGCGAAGTCATGCCAGTTAAATGACAGTGTTGTGTGGTAAGTGACGCACTCTGGACTGCCTGACTTTCGGAAAGTTTTCTTCTTCCTTTTGTGTATAAATTCAGTTGCAAGTCAGCGCTTCTGTGTCGAGCATGCTCCTTTTCACTGTCCTGTTTTTCTTTGTGCGCTCTACTGTTTGCCAAACAAAAGCAAAATAAAACGTCAACACAAGCGCCTATCAGAACCAACGTACGTATACGGCAGCGTCCAGCTGTCTTGTGCCCGAAACTCCTGTACCGACCAAGCACCCAGACGCATGGGTCGCCTTCCGTTCCAGCAGTTCCTTTAAAAACCCGAACAAACACACAGCACCTGCCGAGTGCCGATGAAAAAGTACAGATAGCCAGCCAACTTATTTCTCCATCCCCCTCCCTCCCTCCACTAAATACTCCAGCGCCAGGAGCCAACGACAAGAACACAACACACAAAAGGATAAAAAAAAAAGAGAAAACAAAAACAAAAAAAAACACCGCGTTTTCAACTTTGCGATTGACAGAAACAAAGCAAGAAACAAAACATCGGCCATGCTTCAGCCCAGCGCCACTGATGATTGGCTCCTTCGGAGAGTGGCCACGTGTGCAACTCTCCGAAGGAAGCCTTTGATCCTTGCGCCGTTTCAGCGCCATTGAAGGGAAAGGCGAACATCCAAAAACAACCTGTTTAGTTACATTGCAGAAAAACAAAATTAAACCCCTGTCATCAACTGAGGGCATCTCCACTCCTTTTAAACGCGCAGTTCAGCACTGACCTGGATACCAAGCGCTGTGTCCTCAAAGGACCTGCCTAGTCTGGTGGGCTTCGACATCTGCCTGAACTTCATGTTCTACGTCAAGTACCTGGCCTTCTACGGTGTTCCTGGAGCTCTGGCGAGGCTTGACAGGGTTCGGCTGCCGCCGCCGCCAACATGCATCGTTCGGGAACACCTGTGTTCACACTTCTGGAGGTCTGTAATGAACGAAAGTCCCTATGTTTCGGGTCGAACTCCGTCCCTTGGTCACGGGTGATTGTGAGGTGAACGGCGTGGGGCACTGCATGTGTAGGCTGGCTGTGGGGGTTGCGTCCGGGTTTTAGCATGCAGGCCCAGTTCCTTGCAGGCCTTGTTGAAGGTGAAGTTGGACTTGAAGCTGACAGTGGTGCGGTTCAGGTGCACCAAACTTTTAGCAAGCTGAGAAGCGTCTGGACCGCATATAGTCATTGCATATAGATTTAAAATTGAACATTTTAGACAGAGATCCGTCTGATTACGAAAAAGCTGACTGAAATTCGAAACTCTAAAAAAAGTTTTAACTTGGCTTAGAGCTTAACTTAATTGTGGCTGAGTTACACGGGCAGCCCTAATATCAGTTAAGCCGGCCTGAGGTTAGACTTAACTAAGTATAAGGTGCACGACGGACATTCTAGAACACAGTTACGCTTAAGTGTGCATGGCAGTTATTGCCAACCATACCCTAGTTACACGGGCAACTTTGACCGCAGTTCAGCGGGACTGAAACCAGATTTAACTGCGTTTAACGTGCATGATGGGCATTCTAGAACGCAGTTACGCTTAAGTATGGTTGGCTGTTACTGCCGAATACAGCCAGCCGGCAATGGCCAGGCGGCGCCATGAGAGTGCTGCATTCAGCGCCACGAGCGGAGGCGTGTGTTAATGGGGCGGCCAGTCTGCCCGTCGGGCCGTGGCGAGCAGAGGCGACCCCGATTTCAGCAGTCCTCGTGTGTACGTGCGTGCCGTGTGCCTGGTTCTTTTATGAAGCTTTTTAAGACCATCGGGAGTCTTGATAGGTCGAAGTATTTAGAGCAAAATATAGAGTTGTCATTTGGACACCAGTTTTTGTTGTCTTCACCACTTGTGGGGTCGCTCTATAATAATCGCGGCCCGATCGGTCTGTGCTTCGCTCGTCTCCTAGGAAGTAACACAACACAAAGAGAAGGTAACGAATCGGTTTACTGTACTACCGGGTTGCCCGTCTTCGAGAGTCGGCAGTCCGGACCCGCCGAACCTAGTTCTTGCCCGTCGTTCTGAGCTCGCAGTCGGAGTCCGTGTCCAGACCTGCGGATCCTCCTTCCCGTACGCCAGCGCTGCGTAGGCTAGCTCTTCCGGGCTATCACAGCCAGGGTTTCTCTGCTGAACCGCTCCGGGATCGTCATAGCCGAGGCCGGTATGGCCAGGGCTCGCCGTTTCCGTCAGTCCTGATCCGAACCTCGCTGGTGGAATGCTCCCGTGGATTGCCATCGGCCAGACCATATCGTTCCTGCTCGGTCAGCCTCGTGCAGCACGCTCTTCCTATTTCCTCGCCGGCTGGCCTCCGCTCGCGCCTCGCTCGGCCGTCCTCTCCTCCCGACGCCCCCACACACTAGAATAAAACTTGGGTCATTAGAACCAAACTCTGCATGCTAAAGAACCGTACGCACATTGCAAGGCCTCGTGTAAAAAGGCGACAGGCAACAAAGGGTACGTGTAAGGATATTTACGCTTCGCACGAGCTTTTTCTAAAGAAAAACTTTACCACCCGATCCTGCTTTCTGCACGCCTCCACATTTGTTACCAGACTCAGCATGAAATTTAGTTGCTGAAATAAACAAAACTTTGTGCTACGAAAATCAACTATTTGAAACATGCAGGTTTGGAAGGTTTTGGTTGCGGCTGCACGTGCCGAACGGCATTAGGAGTGCCGGAACGAACCGACGGGCCTTTCGCTTGAAGACATGATCGCCCGATTCTCGACGTTACAGCGAAGCAACAATCGGCGACTGTTCCTACCGTATTTTCCTGCGTGTCTGTCTAAGCGAGTCGTAATACAACTTGTATAAATATGTTATTTTGCCGAGTAGTCTGTAAAACGAGTTCGTCAGAACACTTTCCAAGCCTGCACATCTATTTTCGTTCACTTCAAGAGTTTCTGTAAAATTCACTTACTTGATGCGTCGCACTGCAGTAATCCACTTCTGTCGCCGTGTCGTTTTCCAAGATCTCGAAGGGAAGCGGTGAAGTTTGACGCTTGAGTCATCTTCGCGGCTGTGGCCGTCTTTCACGCAGCAGTAGCAACGTTTATTTTTTAGGGGAATTCTAGGAGTAGGCGAGATGTCACAGGAACCCGGTGAGGTCACAGAGACGTGAAGTTGGGACTTAATTTTACGAAAAATTTTTCCAAACAGCTCACGCCGATCTGAAATGCCACGTTCACACCTGGTTTCTGAATGCGCCCGCCCGCAGCCCCCGCAACCCGCGCCGTGCTGGTTTACCCAGTTTCTTCATTTTGCAGCCGCTAGATGGCGCAACGTGTAGTGTAAAACTGCAATGCCGGTTGCCTATAGTCTACACTGTTAGCAAAAATAACGCGCCCAGACGTGTAAACCGTTGTCCCATACCGGACACGTCGAAACGTGTTCGTTTTACACGAGGCCATCTGTGTTTTTCGTCTACACATGAGGTGCTGTGTAAACTTAACACGCTACACCGTGTCTGCCTTCCGCAAAACCGTTTCGAGCGTGTTCCTAATGAAACATGGCGGCCAGCGGCCGAGAACAGGCGAGAGACGAGCCCAGCGAGCCGCGCGCCTTTCAGCCGAATTGAAAGCACACAGGGCGCGTTAGTTCTCGTTCGATGTCTTTTATACACAGTAAAGTCTCCAAGCGGCGGACGCAGCTACTTGCAAAGGTACGTACGTGCGTTGTCGGCGGCGTCGGTAGCTTCAACGAGCCGCTGGACAACAAAAAAAAAACAACAAAAAAAAAACAAAAAAAAACGAATGCCGAACTTACATGGATAAATAACTTGAGCAAACTATTTAGAATCGGGCGGAAACTTGCGCCACCTATCGAGATTTCTAGCAGCCTGTTTAAAAAAAAGACGAGTCTGTTAACACTGCGAACGACCACGACTACACAGCAACCCTACATACAACGCAGGCAACACAGCACACAGCTACACAGCACCGACATGTACACAAACACAACAACCGACACTACGCCCGCCACTTCCTACTCGATATTTATTTCTCCCCGCGGCGCATATAAGCTTGACATGTGCGGGTGAGCTCTTTGGTCGCTGACCATTACAGATTTATAGAAGAATACACAAAACACGGCGCAATGGACAGCCGTGTGTTAGAACTGTTTGCATTTAAAAAGTATGGAGGCAAAATCTATAATGTTAGTCCGTTGCAATAAATAACGATATGTTAACAATAAATCTTAAACCGGTCATAAAATAGTTCAAATTTTTGTTATTTTCTTGCTTGACCAGTGTTATGAGCAGTCCGACTAGCTTGAATCAGATAGGAAAACAAATTATTGGGATTTTGTCATTACGTATACAATAATAAATGAAAATGATCCTTGCGCAAAGCATCTTTTATATATTTTTGTGAAGGACATCCGGACATCCGCCCAACACTTCACTTCCGCTAGTTGCAGCAGTTGCAGTACTGGAGCAGACGCCTTCACTTTTGGGGCGTTTTGATGCAGTTTGTTGTCGTATGTCGCGTCGGTGTCGAGAAGAGCGGTGGGGCATGGGAGTTTGTGACCGGTGTTATTCGTGAATACTGGTGTGGGGCGCTGATGCGTCTTTTTTTAATACTGCCACCACCCCGAACTTTGAAGATACACGGGCCCGTAGCAGTGCATTATGCTGAATCGCGAGCTCCTTCTCTGTTGACGTCGCTTTCCTGGTACCACTCGTGGATACTGCAAGCGTTTAAACAGTGTGCACCGTCTCGCCTACATCCCCGGTGACGTACTCGACCTGTTGAAACTTATTGCTTCCGTCATTTTAGAGTACGCAAGGCAGTTATCTAGTTGGTCTGGTTTCGGTTATAAAAGCAAGGCAAAACGCTCGTAGTTCCCGCCCTCAGTACACGTTGGACATCTTCCACACTTTGACACCGGATAACTGAATGAACGAGGATTTACATTCACTTCCGAGGTTACTCTCGCCGCTTCCTCACCGTTGAGCAGCAGGATGAGCTGGCGACGAGCAGCAGGATGAAAGGCTTGAGCATCAACAGCCCAAGCGCACTCGGTGCCGATGCGGGCGACGCGGGTTTCTGTCAACCGGGAGGCCACCACAAACCGTGACCGTTCCAGCTCTTCGTAATGACACGGCGTTGCAGAGAGCAGGGTAAAATACAGCTACACGGATCACCGAAGCAAACGACTGCTATCTTAAATCTTGGCTTGTGATTGCGCCTTTGCAGTAGATCATCTTATTCCTTTTGCTGGAGAGACGCAAACGACGGGCATAACAAAATCGCTTGCATATTCCGCATATCTCACAAAAGCATTTACCCTGTCACCTTGCGAAAAGCGCGAAACACGGAGTCCGTACCGTCCTAAGCTTGCCGTTTTTTACCTGCTTTAGAGCAGTTTGTACCTGCTAGTAGATATGCCTACTGAAACTGAAACAGGGCAGTGCCAGAGAGAAAGAGACAAAGTTGAGAAAGCTTGCTCGCTCTCCAATTTCTCAACTCTCAAGTGATTGTACCATAATAAATGCACCAACGCGTCTTCCAAAATAAAGAAAGAGCACTACGTTCACAACATAAAAAATGGTCTCAGTACATGCATCTGTGGGCAGGCAGGAAACCTTGCCCTAATTTATTCACGCCACATGATTGGCGCAACAAACTCGTTGCAGGACCGAATCATCTACTCGAGCCTTGTGCGTCGCTATGCAAACGCAGTCCAACACGAAGCATAAAAAACGGCAGATTTAAGACAACACCCCGGAGTCCATTATTCAATTAAAACAACGTAATTTTGTTGAAAACGCCCGCTGCTTCTTACTCACGGAATGTGTCGGGATACTTCCACAGTTTGAAACGGAACGAAGGAAGATTTCTATTTAAAAACGCTCGCTGCGTCCTCCCGGACCAGCTGGACCGGATCAGCTGCCGACGACGGGACTGTACCCGTTGAACCTCCACCACGCAACAAACAATTTGC